AAAATAATAAAATGTTTTTAATTGAGTTTCCTTTTTGCCAGTCTCAGATAAAGATTCTCGCAGAAATTCTGTGGCAGGAGTGGGGAGAAGACCCCACGGGTGAGAGTTCTTGTTGCCTATGGGTGCGGACCTGAGTTTGTGGCTGCCTGAAGCTAGTCAACAGATAACTGACGTCTTTTAGGGGAGGCAGAGTCAGTTTTCCTTAAGGGTGTGGCCTCTGGTGGGTCAACCACACTCCAATGGATGGCCCCACACCCATGAGTATAGGCACGGTATTAACCAGACTCAGAGGGTTAGCAAAAGAATAAATAAATACATAAGAGAGCGGGCAGCTAGGAAAGGGTGAGAGTGGAGCTGGGAGGAGTCAGGGGAAGAAGGAGTTAGATATGACCAAAATACTTTGCATGGAATTCTCAAAACATTAACACAAATGCTGCATGTTTTAAAAATACTGAGCCTTAATGATCGGGAAACCATTCCATCCAGCAAGTTTATGGGAAGCGAAGGTGTGTGGAGAAATGATGCAGGGCAGAGAGTTCTACGTACATCAAGAACAACATACCAGAGACGCAGTGCTGTCAACATGACCATCACATGGCCCCCGTGAGTCATCAGTGATGTCTGAATGTGGTGACCAGGGACGTCTCAAGGGTGTAGCAGTGTCACGTAGAGCACAGTTCTGCTGAAGCCACAACCAGAAAGCACTGGGGCACACCATGATGTGACAACGACCCCTTGGGACAACATGAGTGCAATCAACAGGAAGCACACTGGCCCCATCTAAAGAGGCATCTCTCTCCTTCCTGACCACATCTGTACACGCTCCTTCTAGTTATCCCGAAACTAACTCATCAACAGATTCTAACTGGCAGGCATGAGACGAACAGGAAGCCCCTCTGCCTCAACTGAACTCATCTATAAAAGTTTCTGGCCTCCTATCTTAGAATGGCATCTGCAACAGGTCTTAGAAAGTTGTCATTAATGCCACCTTCCATTCTCACTAAGAGCTCAATAGCGTATGTGGTGGTTAATATAGACTGTCAACTTCAAAAGATCAAGAGTTTTCCAGGAGTCAAGTCTTTGTGCACGTCTGCAAGGGAGTCTTTAGAGAGGCTTATTTGAGGTGGGAAGACACCCCCTCCCATGTGTGAGCAGCATCATTGCCTAGGGTGAGGTCCAAGACTGAATTAGAAGGAGAAAGAGAATTGAGCCCAGGATTCACCTGTGTTTCCTGACTGTGGATGTATTGACCAGCTGCCTCAAGCTCATATCCACACACCCTTCACTATGGAATAAGCCCTCCCGCCATTACGCTGCTTAAGGTCAGGTCTTCGGTCTCAGCAACAAACAATGGTATGTATTTTTGCATTTGCAAAAAGAGAGCTGGAAGACTTTAGAATGAGAAAGTATGGTGAATAAAAAAAAAAACTTTAAAAAAAAAAGAAAACTGGGGCTGGGGAGACAGTTCAGTGGATAAAGCACTTCCCCCACCCTGGTCATGAGGACCAGAGTTTGCATTCCCAGAGCCCACGTAAAAGCTGAGCAGGAATGGCAGCTGCCTGCATCAGGGTATTCAGGAAGCAGAGATGGGATCTTCAGGACAGCATGATTAGCTGGAGTTGGAATATGGAAGGGGAGAGAAGTGGGTTTAGTAAGACACCCCGTCTCAATAAATCAAAAAGTAGACAACAACCAAGGAAGACAACCACATCAACCTCAGGATCCATACTCACATCCACACAGGTGTATATACACAGACATGTGTGCCCACATACACACAAATACATGTGTGTATGTGTATATAACACACACTTCTACATGTGCCAAAATTAAGAAAGGAAGAAAAGAACTGAGCATAAAATGACAGTCTTCATTAGGATTCAACCACCATCCCAAGGTACCATAGAGCCAGAAACCATGATCCTGAAGGTGTATCTAAACGAGACCTGTGAACCCACACTCAGAGTGATGGTATGAGGATATCTGAGCTGAAATAACAGTTTCCATAAGTTCTGTACATGGTAGAGGTGGGGAGGAAAGATGGAAAGATGAAGAGAGAGATGGGGGAAGAGATGAAGGGATAGGAAGCATGGTCTAGCTTGTGCCGTAAATCTCAGCTATGACATATGGCATCTGTTCCTTCTGGAATTTTTAATGGCTTCCAAGTTCATAAATCTATGCACTTCCACACTGTCAGCGTGTGCCGTGATGTTAAGCCGCAGAACCATATGTCAAAATCCAGCACCTAATGTTTGTCTTCCAAGTTTTCTTTCCTCAGATCTCTGCCACCATCCGCTCACTGCTCATTTATAACATTTTATATGCTGTGATTCCCGTCCTGGGAAGGCGAAACCAGAGCTGCAGATCCACTGTATTCAGTCCCGGCCTCTGAAACTCACAGGACTTACCAGCTTGTATTCTCTCCATTAGCAGTCCCTTCAAGGCCCTGTGTCACAGCGTCTGACATGACACGATATTGTCATTTACAAAATTCAAACTCTAGAACCACACAGGGCTGGAGAGGTGGTTCGGTGGTTCAGAAAACACATACTGTTCTTGCCAGGACCTGTGTTCAGTTCCCATGCACATTAGGTAGGTCCCAGTCATTCATCTATAACTCCAGCTCCAGGGACCCCAACTCCCTCTCCTGCAGTTTCAGATATCATACAAAGGCACAAACCCACACCACACATCTATAAATAATTAAAAATAAAAACAAACCTCCTTTTATAAAGAGCCTCACAGCTAAATTAGAAGAGAATTGTAGCAACAACTCACACAGTGATTTAATAAACTTTATGATTTTTTTTGTTAGGTCTCCTTCATAGCGGTTGCTGGCCAGATGCAACCCACATTGGATACACCTAGAATAACTGTTATTATTTCTTAGTTTTTTGTTGCTTTAAATTCTTCTTTATTTCATATGCACACATTTGACCTCAAGAACTGACTGTATAATAACGACTTTAACAAATAAACTCGAGTGCCTGGGCCTACAGTAGTTGAACTTGAATATCTTAATTCGACAAAGGCCACAGATCCCTGCGTGTACTGTAGATTAGCAATCTGGGGCTTTTTGAAGGATAAAATCAGGCTAGTGTCCAATCACTAAGTAGCCAAGCCACTAAAGACAAACAAGGGGTGATCCTGTCCTCAACACGCCTGCAGCCTGCAATGCTCTCCACCAAACCTCCCACTACAATTGTCTCCACCACCCATATCACTTCTGTCTCCCCCGCCCTACTGCTGGGATTAAAGGCGTGTGATCCCATCACTTGCGTGAGCTCTGTTCCTCTTTTAGACAGATTTAATCTTGTATAGCCCAGAGTGGCCTTGAGTCCTGGGATTAAAAGTGTGTGCCACCACTGCCTGGCCTCTAGTTGCTGAGCTCCACACTCTGATCTTTAGGCAAGCTTTATTTATTAAAATACAAATAAAATATCACTGTAATTTGATTCTACCAATAAAGATTTGTGACCCAGATGCTGGAGTGAAAACCTGCTCATCCAACATCCCTGAAAAAGCTCTTTCTTCCTATGCCATCTCAAATAAAAAACCTCAAACTGAATACCCCCTTCTATTTCCTGTGTGTCTATCCACCCTCCTGACTCCCCTCTTCTGTCTATCACTTTCTTCTAACAATTTTATCTTCACTTCCTGCCGACTGGTTGCCTGTTCTGCCTCTTGACCTATGGTTGATCTAATTTAATCCTGTTTACAGTATTCAAGCAGGAAGCACTTGGATGAAAGGTGTGTGCTAGCGCTGAGCCACACCACCACTAGAAACGTGTTTTCCCATTAAATAACGCACAATCTCGGGGTGTACACATAATCCTGCAACAAATCCAAATCCTCTGCAAGAGCAGCTAGTGCTCTTAACCACTGAGCCATCTCCTCAGCTCCCAGTTTCCTTTAGAGAGCAAATGGCTGCACGCTGCAAGACTATGTTGTCACTGGCACACAAGCAATTAATTTTCCTTAGCAAAAGCAACGGCAGCACCAGTTACTAATGTATATTGGAAGTGAGGGAATAAATTTCAATTATAAACCACCAAAACATTCTCTCTCTCTCTCTCTCTCTCTCTCTCTCTCTCTCTCTCTCTCTCTCTCTCTCTCTCNCTCTCTCTCTCTCTCTCTCTCTCTCTCTCTCTCTCTCTCTCTCTCTCTCTCTCTCTCTTACTCTCTCTCTCTCTCTCTGTCTCTCTACACAAAACTAAAGTAAAAGATCCTCCAAATCTTTGAAGCCATTTTTAAAAATAAATTATGCGATGATCTAGTATGCATATGCCTCTTAGGCATTTGCACAGTGGTAAATATGAATGAACCACTAACACTCATGTGTCCTTCCTGAGCCCCACTCCCGCTGTGGCCTGTCTCAGGCCGGTAGCATCATGCTCCCACTACAATGCTGGGAGGAGAGCTATCCAATGGGCTCCCACAACTTGAACCCAGCAGGGCTGAAGCAGAAGACACATGCAGCTACAAAACTCAGCCGTCTGAGCACCACATTGGGAGGAGAGAGCCAAAGTGAATCAATCAGGGATGCTGTTTTCCTCCGCCTCACAGTTGCTTCAAGGGGGTGTTTGCTGATTTACATTCATCATTTATCACAAATCCCACTCCAAGAGAGACACTGAGAAAAGCTCTCTAGAAGGACACGGTGGGGACGGTCCATTGTCTGGGCGACGTCTTAATAGCCCCATTAGTGTTATTGATTCGAACAAATCACTTAACATAAATTAACCCAGGGACTCTCTCTGGCATCCCGCAGGAGTAGGTAGGCAAAGAGTGGAAATTCTACCTTATAGGAAGCTGAGCGGTTCTGAGAGCAGGAGAAATCAAGTTTGCAATACAGCACTGAGCAGCAATAAGCATTTGGCACTGTAGGAGAGGCCCACTCCTGCCAGAAAAAGCGCTTGGTTCCCACACATGCTGCAGTCTCAGCTCCCACTGAAATCCAGCCGATCTGCCACCCAGCAGGAGCTCGGAGACCCACTTACCCTAAACAGCTAGAAGTGGCAGCCTGTAGACTTGAGTCTTCTGTGGCCTCTTCCAGTATCATCACCCATTCTAAACACGTATGACTAAAGGAGGTAGCCACATAGAACAGACCCTGTTGGGGAGAAGTTAGCATGAGTCTTTTTTTTCTTTTTTCTTTAATTGATTTTATTGAGCTCTACATTTTTCTCTGCTCCTCTTCCTTCCTCTCCCCTCCCCTTCAACCTTCTCCCAAGGTCCCCATGCTCCCAATTTATTCAGGAGATCTTGTCTTTTTCTACTTCCCATGTAGATTAGATTTATGAATGTCTCTCTTAATGTCCTCATTGTTGTCTACGTTCTCTGGGATTGTGATTTGTAGGCTTCTTCTCTTTGCTTTATGTTTAAAAAACACTTATGAGGGCTGGAGAGATGGCTCAGTGGTTAAGAGCACTGCCTGCTCTTCCAAAGGTCCTGAGTTCAATTCCAGGCAACCACATGGTGGCTCACAACCATCTGTAATGAGATCTGGTGCCCTCTTCTGGCCTGCAGATATACACACAGACAGAATATTGTACACACAATAAATAAATAAATAAATAAATAAATAAATAAATAAATAAATATTAAAAAACCACTTATGAGTGAGTACATGTGATAATTGTCTTTCTGGGTCTGGGTTACCTCACTCACTATGATGTTTTCTAGCTCCATCCATTTGCCTGCAAATTTCAAGATGTCATTTTTTTCTGCTGTGCAGTACTCCATTGTGTAATGTATCACATTTTTCTTATCCATTCTTCAGTTGAGGGGTGTTTAGGTTGTTTCCAGGTTCTGGCTATGACAGACAATGCTGCTATGAACATAGTTGAGCACATGTTTTTGTGGTACGATTGAGCATCCTTTGGATATATATCCAAAAGTGGTTGGTGTGGGAGATCCTTCTGTCTATGTGTTGTTTTTATTGGTTAATGAATAAAGAAACTGCCTTGGCCTGTTGATAGGGCAGAACTTAGGTAGGCAGGAGGACAGAACTGAATGCTGGGAGGAAGAAGGCATAGTCAGAGAGAGAAGCCATGGATCCGCTGCCAGAGATGGACATGCTAGAACTTTGCTGGTAGGCCATGACTGTGTGGTGATGCACAGATTAATGGAGATGGGCTAAATTATAATGTAAGAGTTAGCCAATAAGAAGTTAGAGCTAATGGGCCAGGCAGGTGGGACAAACAAGCAGGCACTCCCTACTACAAATGGTATTGTTGAGTCTTGAGGTAGGTTGTTTCCTAATTTTTCTGAGAAGTCACCATACTGATATCCAAAGGGGTTGTACCAGTTTGCATTCCCACCAGCAATGCAGAAGTGTTCCCTTTACCCCACAACCTCTCCAGTATAAGTTGTCATCAGTGTTTTTGATCTTGGCCATTTTTATAGGTATAAGATGGAATCTCAGAGTTGTTTTATTTGCATTTTTCTGATGACTAAGGATGTTGAACATTTCCTGAAGTGTCTTTCAGCCATTTTAGATTCATCTGTTGAGAGTTCTCTGTTTAGGTATGTGCTTCATTTTTTATTTGATTATTTGGTCTTTTGCTGACCAATTTCTTGAATTCCTTGTGTAGTTTGGAGATCAGTCCTCTATCTGATGTGGGATTGGTGAAGATCTTTTTCCATTCTGTAGGCTGTTGTTTTGTCTTATTGACTGTGTCCTTTGTTTCACAGAAGGTTCTCAGTTTCAGGAGGTCCCATTTATTAATTGTTTCTCTCAGTGTCTGGCTACTGGGGTTATATTTAGTTAGCATGAGTCTTAACCCTCTTGTCCATAGAATAAATGACTTTTTCCCTTTTTTCAAAGAAATCCTTCTGTGTTCTGAATTCCCTGAGAGAAAAAATAACATATTTTAGGTTTCAGATCCATAGACCTGACCTGTTGAGGCCAACCTGACAGATAAGACTTCATAGCTGTGGCAGGACTTAGCTTGAGGTGTGCATCTATGGAATTCAATGCCTTATTTAGAAGTTCCCCCTTACAAGGCCTCTGTCACCCTGACACAGGTCCATGGGGGCCTTCAGACTGAACATTTCCACAGGGTGTCTACTCTATGGCACTCCCAACAGGAAGAAGCCAGCCGAGTGGATAAGAGTGGACAGGAAGGTCCTGTGCCTCTAAGGAACTTCAGCCTCTGCATCTGGCTCCAGAAATCCACAAAAATACAGCTCCTGGACACGCCAATGTCACGTAAAATTTGCTTGAAGCCCTTACAGAGGAACAGGTATTATCTCTGCCCCTGCAGGTCAGCCTCTGCAATGGTCAGCCTCTGCAGGGATCTCCCTGAGCCATGGGTTACAAAAGCAGAGGCATGGTGGGTGACTCCACGTGGGACCCTAAGGAGAGCTAGGCTTCCAAGGTCGGAAGTTAAGAGCACTGAGCTCAGGAGAATGCTAGGGGACTAGAGAAGACAGAAGCTTGTTGCTCCCACAGCCCCTAGAAGCATCAGAACTTCTGTGACAGTGACTGGGTCCCTGCACAGCCTGGAGAATTGGGTCAGTTCCTGACTGAGGATGTGAATGAAATGACTGACCATCTTCTCCTGGACCTCACACACTTAAGTACAGAATATCTCAGCCATATCAGCTAAAAGGGAAAAACAGAGGCCCTAGTCCAGTTCTGGTCCATTTCTATCCCTCTGTTTTTTGCCACTCTGAGAGTGGTAAAGAAGTTACCTCAATAGAAACTGCCTGAATTTGGATAATCTGATAACGAGGCAAATGCCTGCATCCATTTCATTTGATCTTAACAATGATAAAATTAGATGCTTTTGTTTTTATCTGTCATGCTGAATACTTGAAATTCTTTGACAGCAGTAGGACGGGCATCTAATAATCTCCTGACTTTAGGCTAAGTAGACACCCTGTTCTAGACACACACACACACACACACACACACACACACCATTCTTCTCCGTGTTCCCTGACTACAAATACCTCCAAAGCAAAAGTGCTGACCACACAAAAAGCCGACTTTAGTTAACTAGCTTAGCACTTTGATGTTTTACACCTGCTATGTCTCCGTATGCTTGCTTTGATTGAATTAAATCAAATTAAAGATGCAAGCACCCCTCTTTAAATGACCAATTTCTACGAGAAATATCTTTCCTATACACCTTCTTTTCTGATGTGGGCACAGTGAGTCATTGCCGAAGCCAGAGCTCCTTTGTATATAAAGCTTATGAAATAAACCCCAAATGGCAATGCCTGGTGAAAGAATCATCTCTACCAATAATCCCTCTCCTTCCAGCCCACCTGTAAAGAGGTTGTGATGCTAACAAGGCTGGATCAGCTCCATGCTGAAGAAGGTGGGCTGTGTTACCGACTTTTCAAACTTACTTTCTCTAATTGTGCCTCAAGAAGGCAATGAAGGTAGAGATGGCTCGGTGTCTGACATGTTTGTTGTGCCAGCCTGATGACCTTTTTGGTGACAACAGGTTAGACACCAGATTAGACCAGTTGTTTAATGATTTTGGGCCTTCCTTGATTTCCTCATCTGAAACTTCCTGGCTACCCTGAGCTGATCACTACCTCTCCTTGGGGTCCTAAGATTTTGATTCTGAGATACTGTGAAGGCCCTGGAACAAAGGAAGGAAGGGACATTGTTCCAGTTCTATTGTACGCCCAGCTGTGCTTATCAGATTAAGATTCTGCGCTCATAGACAAGGGAGAAAAGACGGTTTAGAAATTCACATTTGCTGGAAAAGCAACACATCGCTGAAGGAACTATAGAATGCTTCTGTCCATTAATCCACTTTCCCACAGTAAAAATAACCTTTGTTACAAGACTGTATCTGAATAGAAATACGAAAACGCAGTCCTCAACAGTTTCTGAACCAAACCCTGCAGAACTCATCATGGGCTCATTCTTTCCTATGAGCACCAAGGTAAGGGCGCCATCTACTGGCCTGATTCCCTAGTAGCAGCCCCATAACCTCGTGAAGTTTTTTGGAAATTATCTATTAACTTTCAAATTTTGAGTCTACACTCTGCTTTGATGAAAACTTGATTTTTCAGCTAGAATGCAAAAGGTCTCTTGTCTGAATATTGAGAACACACAAAGCATTGCTCTGAAATGAGAAACGTATTTGCTTTTCACACTACAATAGTGAAGGTGCCAAAAGCCGGATGGACTTGCTTTCTCTAAATGCTCTTTCAGAAGCCAAGGACAGTGGGGATGGCTCAGTGTGTAAAATGCTTGTTTGTACAAGCGTGATGACCCGAGTCCAAATGTCCAGTGCCGTAGTGGACGTGTAACCTAGCAATGGAAGGCAGAGATGGGCAGAAGCCTGGAGTCCATTGGCGGGACAGTTTAGTTAAAGTGAGCTCTAGGCTCAGTGAGAGAGCCTGTCTCCACAAATGATGCAGGCAGCAGCTAACGAAGACAATCAGCTGCCATCAACCCCTAGTCTTCTCTTGCACGCACGTACACACACAGAGAGAGAGAGAGAGAGAGAGAGAGAGAGAGAGAGAGAGAGAGAGAGAGAGAGAGAGAGAGAGAGAGAGGTGCTGGCCTCTCGGCGGTGTTTATATGGTAAACAGTGCCAATTATCAAATCTTCTTTTAACAGTAGCCACCTGAGTGGCCACTCCACCAACAGAGGTCAGTTGGGGAAGAAAAGAAAGAGTTTGTAGGAAAAGTCCAACCCCAGAGTAAAGCCTAATTCTCTGCTCCATCAGACTCCAGGCAGCGGGACAAGGCCAGCGTTTTCTGTGACCCTCCACCAGGAGTGCAGTGACATTACTATCTGGGCCACCAGGAGCACTTTGATCCTCCCTACTTCCTCAAAACTTTCTTCTTGCAAAACTCTCTTTTAAGAGCAATCTCGCTGCTTCTGGATATGCTCAAAAAAAAAATGTTTGACATAAAAACAAAATTCTTCAGTTCCTTACTCAATTAAATCTGAGGTGATTCCAGGACAATTTACTTCACTGGCAGAATGTTAGATAACTGTTCAACATGGTCCGAAGGAAGTATGGAAGAAGGATGGAATGATTTTACATAGATAGAAAACCCTGTTTCTTTTTAATATTTATTTACAGTGTAAAATTCCGTGTGTGAATGTGCACATGTGCCACAGTACACATGTCG